CCCTTGGTGGCATAATATAATAATATGCGTAAATAATACTAAAGTGCTGTGTAAGTATTCCTGGAGCTACTTGCAGTCCCTCCACATTGTTTAATTTTGATAATTTAAATTTCTGTCCTCTCTAAGTAATGAATCTTGGCCCCTTAGCCGGTAACTGTGTTTGCTAAACAATACACAGATTCCCCGGGTGGATATTGCTGAATTAATGGCTGTTTAAAAAGAGAAAATAGTTTTTGCATCCATTCCTGTGAAAAGAAAATTCCAAAGAAAATCACTGTGAAAAAAAGAAAGATTGCCTTAAGTGCTTAAAAGTTCTCAGAAGAAGAGCTGGTTCCAAAATCCCAAAATCCTACAACCATATGGTATTTTTTTTGACCTAATTGATGTCAGAATAAACTGAGTAAACAGCCTCTGGAAACTAGAATCCAGGACAATAAAATGAAAAACCCTAAAAGCTGTCGTGTCCCACCTTAATGAGTGAACATATGTTTGCAGGCCATACATGTAATTTTTAGGCCTGACTGAGATCACTGTGACATCTGCAGATTGCACTGAAATTGTGCTGGTGTGGGCTGCGTGTGTTTTTGTGTGCAATGCGCTTGATGTGTCAGGCATATGGGTGGGTTATGCTTTGAAAAGTTGTAATTCTCCTAAATTACATGCACAAGTCTGAAATGTCTACTAACTTTGTGTAATTTTGCATTTTGCCGCTGCTACGGTTTGGTTTTTTTGCCGAGTCAAAGAAGCATGTCTTGGCAACCAAACACTAGATAGCTGTTGCTCTTGAGTGGTACGCTGAAAAACAAGTGAAAGTGCTACAGCCAAACTCTGTTGGTTTAAGAGGCATAAGGACAGGAAGAGAGGTTAAGTACAGTGTATGTATGTGTAATGGGTTACAATTGCCCTATTAGCCTAGTTATTTAGCTATCTGCTTCTCATCAAACCCCACTTACAGCACCATCTTCTCTCATCAGAGGAGCTAGATGTTAAAGCCGTGTGTGTAGATGAGCGCATTAATGACTGAAAGTGTTTGTCATTAGTAGCTATACTTCGTTAGTGAGAAAATGTATGTCTATAGGTTGTGTGTGCTTGTGCATGCTGTGTAAGCTTTATGGTTTAATTATGTGTGTAAAGAAGGATATGCGTGTGTGCTGTTGACATGCCACTACAAATACTCCATTCCCTGCCTGGAGACTTGTCCCCTGCAAGAGGTAATTTTAAACATATGGTATACAACATGATACATACTTAAACCACAGACTTTCTGCAACACCATACACACACACACACACACACACACACACACACACACATACACATGCATACAAAAACCTAGCATGGTCTTGTGCAGCACCACTTCGCTGCAGGTCTTTGGGATCAGTATAAGATCTACATTTAGATACAAGGGCAGCGTACAGACATGCAGCGATTGAGAAAGGCTTAGAGTCAGTACGAGTTTGAGTGTATGTGCATGTTTGTGTGCAGTGAAAGTTCCCCAGCAGAGATGACATTTCATCTCCTGGAGCCTATCTCACATGGTAACAATTGTGCCCAGTCCTGCTGGCACAGATTATACATACATATGATCTAGGTGTAATTTGCAATGCACACAAATGTGCCAGCTGCATGGACATTTGGGGTATAAACAAGCACACAGCTATGCATGCAAATATATTGCCCTTTTCTCTGCATTAACACATACACAATGCACACACAAATCCAATCAGCACTAATAGCAGCTCGAACATCTCTTCTGCACTAAAAGCCTCATCTATTGACAAACGTGACTCTCTCTCTCTCTCTCTCTCTCTCTCTCTCTTTTCCTCTGCCTGCCTCTTCTTTTTTTGTGCTTCCTAATGTAATAGTGTTGTAATGGTGTGTAATTGCTACTTTACCATGGCAATCTATTGTGGTAGATGAAACCACACTTGAACAAAGCAGACCAGAGCAGCAGACGAACCACAGAGACTTTCAGATGTGTCTTGTTTTCAGAGATAAGTAGATAAATTAACCAGAAGGAGAAATGGATAGTCACCACTAACTGGTGGAATAGCAGTGGTTTTCCTTTGGACTCACTGATCAAAAAAATGTTGCCGCTGGTCCTGGGAAACATTGCATTTGTAAAATCTTGACTTTCCTTTCTTCTCTGCCCACTTTTTACGATTATGCTGTGTGCGTTTGATTCAGTTCCCTGGTCATTTGGCTCCAGGCCTTTGAACTCATGGCTGATAATATTAGAATTCCTTTTGAGGAAATATTAAAGGAATAAATTGATATAGGAGAGAAAAGAATACATCCTGTGCTGCACTTGAAATGTTGAATGTAATGGCATATGCTGTTTTTTGCTCTCCAGAGCAATAATATTGTTAACAGTTTCAGAGTCTGCATTCATTGTCATAAATTCATGTTTATTATCAGTTCTTTTCTTTGAACTGCTAACAAACACCTTCTATGTTTATGGGTCTGCTTAGACTGAAGCTATTAAAGGTCGAAAGGGGGTAGGTGGTAATGATTATGCAGACAGCTGATGGTTGTTACAACAGCTGATAACATCAGCTGTTGTAACAACTAAATGCTATTCCACATTAGCTGATGGTTTAGCTGACACTCTTCTGTGCAACCTATTGGCGAAACCTCATATAGGACACACAATTTAAGTTGCTTTAGCCTGGCTACTGTTCCTGCTGCACCTGCAAGCAACTTTGCAACCCACCTCCTGCCCAGGTTCACTTTTTCTTCTGTCATTGCTCTTTTTTGTGCTGGAGGTATTGTATTGGTTTTCGATTCCCTGCCTTGTCTTTCTCTGTATGTGCATAATAACACATATTTGGCATGATGGGTCTGTCCTTAGACCCATCATGCCAAATATAAACTATCACACATGGAATAACTGTCCTGCTTTTACAAAACTGGTGCTAAGCGAACTGGCTCTAGGACAACTTATATGTTTTCAGTTGGTAATTGTTTCTCCATCTGCTTACAAGCAGCTTCATGAAGCCTCCTCTGTCACTGAGCAAGTTGCGACATATGGCTGGTAGGCAAAGGGTTTAATATAGGTTTCTGTTCCTTCCTCCTGTGGTACTAAACTTAGTAATTTCACTGTGGCATCTCTATAATCATTGAACTGCACAATCCCCTTCTCTTTTTCTGAACCTAAGTATCAAATCACAACCTTTTTTTTGTCTCTTTTTGTGTATATATACGAGTGTTTATCGTCCAGTGATTGTTGTTGTGAATGGACACTAAAAACATGTAACTGAATTGAAGGTATCAAAAAAGTGTATTTAGAATAAATTATGAGTCTTTTTATCTGCTGCATTGGTCCTATGCTGGGGTAAAAACATAAAAAATGAGGCAGCAGTATAGAAAAACAAATTTGAACAGAGCAAATAAAACAGTTTTGGACAGAATGTATATATAAAACACTTCATAATGTGACACTGAAATGGTCAACATCTGAACATTTTCAAAACTGAAATTTCAAATGTCATAAACAAACATATCTTCATTTGACATGTCTCTAAATTGAAATGTTAATGGAAACCAACTGACAAGACATAAAGTTGAATTTCAACAGCAGATTGTCAGAACTTTGTCTTTTATGCTCAATATCACCGAAGCCAAAACACCCCTATAGATATTAGTATTTTAATACAGGAGAGCAATTTCCAGTTTGCTTACGTTGCCATACAATTTTCCCATCATTTCATGCTCCACATATGTTTACGTGTGTCAGGCGGTGGGTTGTAAAAATGCTTTATGGCGTCCCAAGAAACACTGACCTTTCCAGAAAACCACTGATCTGTTCCAAACAAACATGATATACCGTGCGCATGCGTGTTCGCGAGCGTGTGTGCTTTTGAGCTTGCGCGCACGTTCATGTTTTTAGGTAGTTGTGTGTGACATGATGTACAGCCAGTAACATTCCACCCCACAAGCCATCATTAACTATGATGTACAGCCAAATGTCGTTATGTATGGTCGACTGCATGATTTACTGTTAGAGACATAATGGAGTGGCCACTGTAATGAACTTGCTGAGTGTTTGATGTACGGGTCTCTGCTGGAGGGAGAGAAGTAAATACTACGGCCATGATGGCAACAATTACTGTGATGATGATGATGATGAAATTTCTCTCGTCGCAGACGCAAGTTCAATTTCTAGAGGGAGAGAAGGAGGACAAAAAGGAGGAGGAGATGAGTAGACGAAGGAAGTGGGTAAAGAGAGGAGGGAAGGAGGGGGAGCAATTATAGTCTGCCGCTGTAGCAAACTTTGATGTTTTGACAGCCAGCCACTGCTGGAGGGAGACAGTGGTGATGATGAAGATAATAAATGGTGATGACACTGATGATGGAGAAGTTCACACAGTCTTTAAAGTCTTTTATTATTGAAGATCTGTGGAGCCAGAGCGTGCCAAACTAGGTCAACCACCCACCCTGCCTCAGTGTCCTTGAGCACTGCAGTTCAGCAGATGACTTTGTGCTCTGATCTTAATGAAAGGGTTTTAAGTGTTTGCAAGATCAAAAAGTATTATTATGTAACCAAAATGGCACCGTTGGGAAGGAAGGAGTCACAGGTGAGGATTTCCGAGGATGGTTAAGGAGAGCACAGACTTAAGGCCACGAGGAAACGTCAAATGATTTCTGGTAATGACTAGTGTTAAAATCTTAATTGAAGTTGATACAATATACTTTACCTCATTTGCGTATTTAAGACTTACTTTTGTAATGTAAATATACATAATAGTCTTAATTATAATAATTATGATCATTATTCCACAGCATAGCAGCCTACAGTGGCAGAACTATAATCTCACACTTAACCCTTAAGTCTTCTGTTTTAAAACTGGAAAGAGCTTCACCAAACCAAACACAGTCTGACTTTGCCCCCTAATGGAACACAGCCTATATTACCTTCTAGAGCAGTTTTACCTCCATTTTCTGCACTGCTGGATGAATTAACTTCATTAAAAAATAGATTTAAAAAAAGACAAGAAAAATACAATCAATTCATTTTTATTTACATAGCTCCCAATCACAACATTAGTCATCTCAAGGTACTTCCCATTTTACGTAATGATTCTAAAACACAATAATGCCCTCTAAGCAAACACTTGGCACAGTAGATTAAGGCAATTAAATAAACATTCCCTTTTAACAGGAAGAAACCTCCAGCAAAACCTGACTCGGGGAGTGTGGACATCTGCCTCGACCAGTTGGAGTAAGGAGAAAGAGAAGAGCATAGAGAGAGACAACGAAAAACAGACAGGGTAAAGCACAATGACCTCACCAGAAGACTGAATGCAGGCAAAATCATTAAAACTCACCGAGCATTTTCTTTTTCCTTCTTTTATATAACAAGCACGGCTAATGTTTTTCCTATTATAAGATGCCCTTTATTTCTCAAGGGCTTGTCAAAGTGGATGAATGCTCACGCTTGACTTGGTGCCAAATACACCTCCTGATGCAACCCTCTCATTTTTCCGGGCTTGGAACCGGCACTAAGGCCACACGAGCTTGTGACCCCGTGAAGCTGGACTTGTCTCATTGCATGTAAGGTGAATGTGGTAACCACTACACCATGAAGCCACTTTTCCCAATACAAATTAAAAGCACTAATTCACTTCACGGAATTATTACATAGCTAAATCTTCCTTGACTCAACTGCACCAAAAATGTAGATTACAGAATCACAGGTATAGTCGTGTGGAGTCCTTAGTCCACTTCAACACTAATACACTTCGTTCTGGATTATTTCTAATTAATTTAATAAGTAATTTTTCAGCTTCTCTCTTCATTTCCACACAATACATTGGTAGCTTTAGACTAAAAGTGCTAGAAATCCAATGTAAAAACAAAAGCACTAATTAAATTATTAAACTATTTTATTCGATTTTTTTAAACAGCGAGCACCTTCATGAAACCAAAGTCGTTTGTTCCAACTTTTGTCTGTCTTACATATGAGTTGTGTTCTCCTTGCATCCACAGAATGGAAAAGTCCCACAGCAAGGCTGAAGCCAGGGTCTCCACAAAATCTTGTCCCAAGTCAGTTGCAATTCGACACCCTGTTCAGCTGTATTGGCCTCTGAATTAGCATCAGCAGGTGCCTGTTCATTTGGGAGTGTGCTTTTATGTCTCTCCACGGCTTTGGCGGTCTGTTCAAGGATTTCAGCATATCGGGGCTCAGTATCAGGAGTCAGAGGCCGAGACTCTGAGGGATCGTGGAAGAGGTTATACAGTAGCGGCGGGTCATGGTGAGTCACATGCTCTCCATGACAAAGGCAAATCTTTGTGTCATAGCAGCCACCGGCACCCGGGGGAAAAAAGTTGGGAGTGAAGAAGTGCACCTTGTAGATAGAGTCACCTGTATGGAAACACACATGAACATGACATCAACATAGTGTGGCAAGACAAAAAGTGAATTTTTAAAAATTATCTTTATATATAAATGTATGTATTGAAATCAGGTCAAATCTTCATCTAGGTCATAATCATGACAAAACCATCAATTTGAACTAGTAGCACACAAACCATTACATTGTTCTTATAGAAAAGATCATTCAAATTAAAAATGACTAACTAGAGTCAGGAATTAGCAAAAAGAGTCAGGAGTCCAACCAATAAAACGTAATTATTTGCAACAGCCTTACTTTGACCTTTAAAAATAAACATTTCAGGGTTGGAATTTACTAAGAAAATAAATAAAAAACATGAAAAACAAAAACCATCTTCTGCTGTGACGCACGTATCCCAAAAATTGATTTGGAAAGACTCACTGTCATCAATCATTGATTTTTATGAAGCTGGAAAGGTTGCAGCTCTAGAGTTTAGATATTAATCAGTCTACAGCGAACAGTGAACCAGCTAAAGGCCAAAACAATCACTGAAGCATCTATTTTAATAAGTCTAACACAAATATTAGGGAAGGTTTGTATATGAACTGATGAACTGTGCAAAGTTGATGTTCTGAAGTGGGACAAAGTTTTTGCTGCACTAAGAAATAAGAAAGAAGTTTTTATGTCCCTCACTGTATTTATTCAGCTTACAATATAAAACATAATAAGAGCACATATAATATGGATGTACTTATTTTATCCTTTAGCCAAAACACCAGACACACCGTCAGCTATTGTTACTACTGTAGGCTAATGCCATCACGTGGTAATAAAAAACAGGCTGATGTCAGCATGTTGTGATAAAGCATCAATGTTTTATTATAGCCTTTGCCCTTCGGGGGCGATTGAGGTCTCTGAGTGCTGTTTTCTATTTCAAGTTTTTGTTACTGAGTACTAAAATTTCTTTTCTTTATATTTACAGATCACATTATTTAAAAACTTTGGGAATTTTTGGCATTAATATCCCTAACTGTAACAAGAAATAAGGAATAAAGAATCAAAAATGTTGATCTTCTAGGTTTATATATGTGTAAACTTACTGCCAGGTGGGTGCCAGCGCACTGCATTCAGGTAGATGCCACAGTAGTGGAACATGAACTCGTGCTCTGATCGTGCAACTTCCCCCTCCAACAGCGGCATGAGGTTATAGCCATCGGATTGTCTGGAATAGAATCACAAGAAAGAAAGAGGTCAGAACGATGGGGTAAAATACAATCGGAAACTGTTTTAACCTTTGCAAGAAAACAGGAAAGAAACAAGACTCAGTTAATACAATTACACACAATTTAAAAAGCACTTGTGGGAGTGAATTGATATACCTGTCTGGTTGTTTGTCCTTGGCTAAATATTTAAGGGTGGGATACAGATCCATGAGGCTAGTGGGTTCATCCACCACTTTTCCTGCTCTCAGCCTGCCTGGCCAGCGGAAAATACCAGGTACCCTGATCCCCCCTTCCCAGCCCCCCATAGCTTTCCCACCTACATGTGAAACAACAGGAGA